ATTACGTAACATTAGCAATATCTAACACATAAACATATAACACAATAATATAGCTACCATTAAGATACGTAAGACATTATTATACGTATGACAGCTAAAGAAACGTTCTTCTTACCTTCTGATTTGTAGCCAATATATGTGGTTTTATTTTTCTTACATCCTATTTCATCATATTTATACAACACAAACCAAGTTAACAGTAAAGATCTCTCATTCCAAGATAAATAAACCATCCTTCTCTCACTGCTCAAGTGGACCATGTTACAAACCAAAAGAAGGTACCAAGTTCAAGTATCATGGCGACATGCTAGATAAAAAAAAAAAATCACAAAATATTGTTAAAAATACGGATAGTGACTAAAATACGGATAGCGACTAAAAATACAGATAGTGGTTGAAATACGGATAGTGGCTAAAAATACGGATAGTGATTAAAAATATGGATAGTGACTAAAAATAGGGATAGTGACTAAAATACGGATAGCCAGGTGGTTAAGGCGCTCGACTCGCAATCTGAGGATCACGGGTTCGAATCCCCGTCACACCAAACATGCTCGCCCTTTCAGCCATTGTGGCGTTATAATGTGACTTCGTTGGTAAAAGAGTAGCCCTAGAGTTGGCGGTGGGTGGTGATGACTAGCTGCCTTCCCTCTAGTCTTACACTGCTAAATAAGGGACTGCTAGCGCAGATAGCCCTCGTGTAGCTTTGCGCGAAATTAAAAATTAAAGATGTCATAACACTTCTATCAAAAACAGAAAAGAAAAGGATATCACAACACATGTACTAAAACAAAACAAGATGTCACAACACATGTACTAAAACAAAACAAGATGTCATAACACCTGTACTAAAACAAAACAAGATGTCATAACACCTGTATTAAAAACAGAAAAGAAAAGGATGTCGCAACACATGTACTAAAACAAAGCAAGTTGTCATAACACCTGTATTAAAAACAGAAAAGAAAAGGATGTCGCAACACATGTACTAAAACAAAACAAGATGTCATAACACCTGTATCAAGTATCAAAACACCTGTATCGAAAACAAAACAAGATGTCATAACACCTGTATCAAGTATCAAAACATCTGTATCAAAAAACAGAAAAGAAAAGATGTCGCAACACATGTACTAAAACAAAACAAGATGTCATAACACCTGTATCAAAAACAGAAAAGAAAAGGATGTCGCAACACATGTACTAAAACAAAACCAGATGTCATAACACCTGTACTAAAACAAAACAAGATGTCATAACACCTGTATCAAAAACAGAAAAGAAAAAGATGTCATAACACCTGTACTAAAACAAAACCAGATGTCATAACACCTGTATCAAAAACAGAAAAGAAAAAGATGTCATAACACCTGTACTAAAAGATACTTGGTCACGATGATTTCAAGTTTACAGAGTTATATATACCAAATCTGCTAGACTGATTTCTTAGAGTACCTTTTTGCAAATAAGCATGCAACTTGAGACGACAGAAATATGATGGCATTGTCGATGACTGGTAGAAAAACCTGGAAAGCGTGGTTTGTTAGAGATGATACGTCTATATTTATATTAGATAATAAAATACCGAGTTTGTCTGACAGAATGGGTCTTCAGTCCATTAATCAAAGTTAATCTACATTTACAGTGGATGGACAAATTCCTTAAAGAACATCTGTGTGCAAACGTTTGATAACTTTTCTCAGTGAAAGTGAACTGTCTTTACGTTCACCTGGAAACCTATTATTTAGGCTCTGTTAGTTATTGTGTAACGAGCTCTAAATTTTACTGTTTGTCATATGGCAAGGCGTGTTTTTCTATAAATTATCTTATCAGTCTTCAAAAATATTTGGTAAAACGTGATAGTATACGAAAACAAAAGGCTTCCACATCTGTCTGACTAACGTGATTCAATGATAGCCCACTTATTGGATGTCGTATAGTTTACTAAATATAATAGTATTCCAATGTTAGAAATTATCCCAGAAGGATAAGCCATTCTTCATCACCAGCATTAGGGTGAGTAAGAACGAAAATGTATAGACAACATGAATATTGTCCCCCAGTGGCACAGCGGTATGTCTGCGACGTTGTAAGTCATGTACGCCAATCAGCCAGAACATGGACTACTAGGGTTCAGGTATAGCCGTCTTTAATTTTGAACTACTGACTAGATTTGTGAAAGGCGTACACACACACTATAAGTTGTTGTTGTATCCAACAGCTTATATAAGTAGTATTACAGCCGGTCTGAAGAGCTCTGGATTGAGCGAAACGCATCGCCGGCAATGGATATGACAAGTATAGTGTGGTTGGAATACTATTATTATAGACTTTTTTAGTTCTTGAAAAATCCCTGTGGAGCTAGATAAAGAATGAAGTGTTTAAAAATGTGTTAGGCCTAATTCTAACGTCTTATGGTAAATCTCATTTTGAATTAGTGGTCAGAGGGAAGACAAACAGCCAGTTGCATTTACCTCCATAAAAGATTTTGCCAGTTGTTTGCACTGGACAGTGAAAATGACCATCACTTTTAAACGACCCCACGTATCGAACTAGACTCTCTGATCCACAGCCGGTTAATTAAGGTCACATCAAGTCCACCTTTGTATTTATATTTGAAATCTGATTAAAATGTAAATAATAGCGATTTGCCAGATTTACATTAAAAATTAGTACCAATTGTAATAATCCTTATTACAGTGGTGTTCTGTTTCTATAGATATGTACTTATTACAGTGATGGTGTATTTGTATAGATATGCACTTATTACAGTGGTGGTCTGTTTCTATAGATATGCACTTATTACAGTGGTGGTCTGTTTCTATAGATATGTACTTACTAAAGTGGTGGTCTGTTTCTATAGATATGTACTTATTACAGTGATGGTGTATTTGTATAGATATGCACTTATTACAGTGGTGGTCTGTTTCTATAGATATGTACTTATTACAATGATTAATTAAAGTGAAATGTGGGCTATTTAATGACGCCCTATCTGTCTTGGTAAGTTTAGTATGTATATATATATGCTCTATTTTCTTCAGATGTTCAAACTGGCATATATTTATGTCACTTATAATTATGAATATGTCTAGAATGATGATTAAGCATTCATTATATAGCTGCGAAATGTTTAAATATATCTTTAATAAGTGTATAACCATGAACACATTTCTTTATCTTTTACATGAACACATTTCTTTATCTTTTACATGAACACGTTTCATTATCTTTTACATGAACACGTTTCATTATCTTTTACATGAACATGTTTCATTATCTTTTACATGAACACGTTTCATTATCTTTTACATGAACACATTTCTTTATCTTTTACATGACCACATTTCATTATCTTTTACATGAACACATTTCTTTATCTTTTACATGAACACATTTCTTTATCTTTTACACGAACACATTTCATTATCTTTTACATGAACATGTTTCATTATCTTTTACATGAACACATTTCTTTATCTTTTTCTGTTCGTAAAGAAGAAATGGTTAAAGTTAGAAATCTAAACATAAAAAAATAGAAACGTGAAGTGTTAGAAATGCTAGAAACGAATTTTACTGACCAAAAATTTGTTTGATATCCTTTTAAAGATGCCCCCAGTGACACAGCGGTATGTCTGAGGACTTGCAACGCTAGAATCCTGGTTTCGATACCCGTGGTGAGCAGCACACAGATAACCCATTGTGTTGCTTTGTGCTTAACTTGAAACAAACAAACAAATCTAATTATAATATTCATTTAGGTGCAAGTTTCTAATTACTACGTGAAACCAAGTTCGGTCTGTTAAATAAAGAATAAGATAGGCACGTAAAACAAAGATACGCTTCCTTCCTGTCATTTGATTTTTGAACAGTCAGGTTTCACATTTTCTCTTTCTTCAAACCATTTGTTTTCGGTATAACAAGTTTATTTTATATAATTAAAAGAGTACTTGGCATGTCTTGGTGATTAGGGCACTCAGCTCTCAACCTGCAGGTCGTGGATGCGAGTCCCTTCATCAAATATGCTCGTCCTTTCAACCATAGGGGCATTATAATGTGTCGATCAATCCCACTATTCGTTGGTAAAGAGTAACCCAAGAGTTGGCGGTGGGTGGTGTTGGCTGGTTTGCTTCCTTCTAGTCTATTATTTCAAAATTAGGAACTGTTAATGCAGATAGCTCTCGAGTAGCTTTGCGCGAAATTCTACAAACAAACAAACTGAAAAAAGAAAGTTATTGGAAGAACTGAGTAAATAACAATCATTTGGAAAACCATATGAAAATTAACCTTCACTGTTGTATAGGTGGCTAGTCCTCGTATTAAACCAATATGTAAGAGCTCAAACTGAATTGGAATGACACGTTGTTGTTGTTCAGGAAATTTTCTAAAGTTAATTAAATACTTAACAGAAACAAACTGAATTACTGAAGCGTGATTGAGACAACATTTATTTCCGTGTTAGCAAATAATTATTTAAAAAATCTACAGTTAACTTGTTTTTTTATAACATTTTTTAAGAATAAACTAACTATCCAGCGGTCTAATTAGGTTAGTTTATAAATCTCAGTAGGCATTGACTTTTGCAAAACTTCGAAAGATTGTTGTCTTTCAAAATTTGTAGTGCACACTGGAGGGACTTATATTTTGATAATAAAATACGACATTTACATTCCAGATAATTATAAAAGGACTTGCGAATTTTTCAGAACTGGTACATAAAACTGTTTCATGTACTAATCCTGAAGAAACCGCAAGTTTTCTTATAATTATCAGGAATGTGAAGGTTTTTTTTCTAACTTTATTATCAAAATAGATTCCAATGATGTTTTGCAGAGTGTGATTTATACGTTAACACGTTGTTTCTAATTAACCGAGAAGGGACCATTTTGTTTATCATAACAAACGAGAAGGGACCATTTTGTTTATCATAACACTTCATATTCATGTATACGCTAATGAATTTATGACTTGTGTAACGTCACGTGTAGCAACTGTTGTTTCAGTTGGCTTAAATATGGGCGAAACTACCTTCTGTGAAAGTTACGCAAGCATAGGAACAGTCAGCTAAATTGTGACTTATACCTAGCAGAGATCATTACAAGTAGAGACTCCACCTTAGTTAAGAAAGGTTTAGCGTGCCAGAAAGATTGCTGTCTTTGTGTCTTTTGCTGGACGTATACGCTGAATGAACACCAACAACAACACGAAAACGAGGCCTATAATTGGCAAGGTAGAAGTGTTACTTGTTAACAGCTTCAAAAACAAGACTACACGAACTGAAATGTTTCCCTTGATTGTTGACTTGGGTGCAGTTAAAACTGAATCATGTGGTGTAATGAAAAGATCTTGCGTTCACATAATAATCCGCAATATGTGATAACAAGTGACTGAAGTTGTTAATACTAATAGTGCTACAAATAATATTTCTCCCATTTTTTATCAACTTTATTCGTTAATAAAATCGTGTATTTTAATAAGATCTAAGATACTGAAGACTGAAGACATAATTTATGAAGTTTAAGCTCATCCATGACTTGAACAACCGCAAACTGACGAATAATGTTATGTTTTGTCAGAATCCATTTTATGTTCAGGCTATAAGCTTGTATTGGTGAGACTGTCGTCGTGACTTCTTTGAACTAGCTATGTCGTAACAGTGATCAAGATCTCTACAGAAAAAAATAGGAAAAAAAAAGAAAAATTAAGTTTTGATCTTTAATTTGTTGGCATTTGGTCGTACGTAAAATTGTGGAAAAAAAATGCTGAAGAGTTCTAAGGTAAGAAGTAGTTTATGTATATTATAAATATGTATGTTGTAAATGTGTATATTATAAATATGTATGTTGTAAATATGTATGTTGTAAATATGTATATTATAAATATGTATGTTGTAAATATGTATGTTGTAAATATGTATATTATAAATATGTATGTTATAAATATGTATATTATAAATATGTATGTTATAAATATGTATATTATAAATATGTATATATTTGTGAGTAAATAACTGTGATTAAATTAGCTTTGATTAAATGTTAATGATTTTGAAAATAATCCATGTGGTATATTTATCTCATTAAAGGAACTTTTGCAATATACCGCAGAAACAAACAATATACAACCTATTTTCAAACAGAAAAATAAAGATAAATTCTTTAAAAACTGGATATTTCATTAGCTTGATAAAGTACAGAAATTTACAGCCCTAATTTTGACACCAGTGATTGTAGAGTTAATCAGGTTAAAACAGTGTTCTGTTAATTAATTTAATATTTATATTGTTACGTCTCCGTTTGTTAATTGATTTTTCCGTAACTTCGTTCCAACGAAACTTTAACGACACAAGTCTTTACTTAATAAGACTGGTTTATTCTTTCCGAATATAACTCTGCGATACACTTAATCTCAATACTCGCGCTAAAACGACACTATAACGAACGAACGTTAAC